GGAAGAGGAGGAGGAGGGGGAGGTTGAAGTTGTTCAAAGGGAGATTATGGCAGAAGAGGAAAAGGCACGCAGAAGAGAAGTGGTTCTGAAGAGGGAGGCAGAGTTGGGAGCGGGGTGTCTCTAACCAAGGACACCCAGTGTCACCAGCAGCCACCAGACTGCAGAGGTGGGGAAGGATTCTCCCTGAGCCTTTGGAGAAGCCATGCCAGCACCCTGATCCCACAGCTGGCCTGGAGAACCATGAAAGAACGTAGTGCTGGTAGCTCTTTACCACAGCTGTAGGGAGGGAGTGCTGGGCCCGCTTCTGGGTGTCAGCTCCATGCTTTGCTTTGTGCAGCCCTCAGGGGTGCTCTGGCTTTCTAGGTTTTCATGGGCACATAGCCTTGGTGTTCCCGCTGGTGTCCAGCCTGCCTACTCTTTTGCTGGCGCTGTTTCTGTGATAACTGTTCTCAGATACAAAGGCAAAGCTCCAAATACCTTCTCTATTACTGATTTAATCCTATTGTGAACTCCATGAGGTGGGAGTACTTAGGTCCTACAGATGAAAGCTTGAAGTCTAATCACTTGTCTTAGATCATGCAGACCTAGAGTCCAGGTGACAGGATGGATCCTCAACAGGGGCAGCAGTGGCTGTCCTTACTGGGCACGGGCTTATTGGCCTGGAGACTGTGCCATGTCCTTGTGATTTCTGGTCTTTTACTGCTTTATCATGAATTTCTGGTACTTGAATCATTCCAAATAAGGACTGTGGTGGCTGGAGAGATGATTCAGTGGCTAAGAGCACTTGCTGCTCTTAAAGAGGTCCAGAGTTTGGTTTCTACCATCCACATCAGGCAACTTACAACAGCCTATAACTCCAGCTCCAGGGGATCTAACACCCGTATCCATGCCTGCATACAAACACATAGACACAGACACGTACAGTAAATCTTTAGTAAAAGGAATGTAACGAGAGAGAGAGAGAGAGAGAGAGAGAGAGAGAGAGAGAGAGAGAAATATTTCACAGTACCCAGAGGGTAGGAGCTGTTAAATGTATACTTCCACAGCTGGGCGCAGTGGCACACCTATAGTCCCAGCACTCAGGAGGCAGAGGCAGGTAGATCTCTGTGAGTTCAAGGCCAGCCTGGTCTACAAAGTGAGTTCCAAGCTAGCTGGGGCTACAGGGAGAGCCTGTCTCAAAAAGACCCCAAAAAAAGTTATTGTCATGTGTGTGTATGATATGCCTGTGTGGTGTACACAGGCCATGGTGTGCGTGTGATATGTCTGTGTGGT